TTCACTTTTGCAAAAGGAATACTAACGTATTAAAATGCAAAGAGCTACGCGGTTTGTCAAAAGAAGAAACGAAGTGCCCACTGTGCTGTCTATCTTGTCTTTTCCTCTCTTCTCTCTGTTCCTTCTCTTTTCCTCCTCGACCGTTCACAAGCACCACCCCAAGCTTTTAGGGTTAGGGTTTTTCTCTTGCAGCAAAACCCAAACTTCCAGTTCTGTTTCATAGCAGCAGGCCACGGACTTGGGCTCTTGGAATATTCTTAGGATTCCAGTTATGGGTCGTCGTTCTTCCGTGGTCAAATGGTACCATCTTCAAAAATCCCTGAATCTTTTGTTTCTCATTTGGTCGTTCTCCAGTGTTGCTTTGGGCGTGGATTCGGATCACTCAGCTCTTTTGGAGTTCAAGGCTTCAGTTTCGGATCCACACGGAGTATTGTCGAGCTGGAGCTTAAACAGTTCTGGTTACTGTTCGTGGCCCGGAATCTCATGTGCTTCCAATTACCGGGTTGTTTCTTTGAACATAAGCGGCGGAGGTAATTCTGCTTCTTCATCTTGTACTCAAGTTTCTCAGTTTCCACTCTATGGCTTTGGGATTAGAAGGGATTGTTGGAATAGTGATGTGAAACTCGTGGGCAAACTGTCTTCGTCTCTAGCTAAACTCACTGAACTTAGCGTCTTGTCGCTTCCTTTTAATGAATTAAGTGGCGAGATTCCTAAAGAGATTTGGGCTATGGAGAATCTTGAAGTTTTGGATCTGGAGGGAAATTTGATAACCGGATCTCTCCCTAATGAGCTTAAAGGCTCAAAGAAACTGAGGGTTCTCAATCTGGGTTTTAATAAGTTAACAGGAGAGATCCCAAATTCGTTCAGAAGTTGTGTCGGGCTGCAAGTTTTGAATTTGGCTGGAAATCAAGTTAACGGAACTGTTCCCGGTTTCATTGGTGAATTTAGGAACCTGAGTGGTTTGTACTTATCTTTCAATGGACTTAGCGGACCTATCCCTAGTGAGATTGGGCAGAACTGTGGAAACCTTGAGTATTTTGAGCTGGCAGGTAATTTTTTAACAGAAGCTATTCCAAGAAGTTTGGGCAATTGCACACAGTTAAAGTCGATACTCCTCTATTCAAACATGTTCGAAGAGAGCATACCTGTTGAGTTCAGTCAATTGAATCAACTTCAAGTGTTGGACGTGTCGAGAAACAGCCTTAGTGGATTCATTCCATCTCAGCTGGCAAATTGCACAAAGTTATCCATAATCGTGTTGTCGAACTTGTGGGATCCACTTCTTAATACTTCTTATTCAGCAGGCAGTTCCTCAACTGCAAAATCAGCAGCCAATAGTGATGAGTACAATTTTTATGAGGGAATGATTCCAGATGAAATTGTCAGACTTCCCGGTTTGCGGATGATATGGGCTCCTAGGGCAACAATGGAAGGCAGCTTTCCCAGAAACTGGAGTAAATGTAACACCCTAGAGATGGTGAACCTGGGTCAGAATTACTACACAGGAGATATCTCGGGGGTGTTTAGTAACTGCAAGAATTTATATTTCCTGGACTTGAGCCTGAACAGGCTTACTGGCGAGCTTGTTGAAGAACTTCCAGTTCCTTGCATGAATGTGTTTGACGTGAGTGGGAATCATCTTTCAGGTTCTCTTCCAGCATTCAGAAATAACAGAACATGTTATCATCTTGCAAGTGTGAAAAGAGATTCATTTTCAGCTTACCTTTCATTCTTTACCCATAGAGCTATGGTTGAAGCCAGCACAACATTGTTTGGAGATGGTTTTGGTCCTGCCGTGGTTCATAACTTCAATAGCAACAACTTTACCGGCCAACTGACGTTTTTGCCCATAGAACGTGACTCATTTTTAGGAGATCCCATACCTGTTTATGCATTTCTTGCTGGTAGTAATTGGTTGACAGGGACTTTTCCTGGAAGTATCATGGATCAGTGTCGACATATGAGAAGTTTGATTGTAAACGTGAGCAACAATGGGTTGTCTGGTTGGATCCCAGCAGATATTGGCTCTAGTTGCAGGTGTCTCCAGCTTTTTGATGTCTCCAAGAATCGGATTTCTGGGTCCATTCCTCCAAGTATAGGGAATTTGGTTTCTCTCATTTCTCTTAATTTGAGTTGGAATATATTGCAAGGAGAAATTCCCAGCACTTTTGGGATGATGAAGGATCTCAAGTATCTCTCTTTAGCTGGCAATGGTTTGAATGGGTCCATCCCGGTGAGCTTGGATCAGTTGAAGTCATTGGAAGTGCTTGATCTTTCCTCAAATTCTTTGTCAGGCAGGATACCGAAAGATCTGGTGAATTTAAGGAACTTGGATGTCCTCCTCCTCAACAACAACAAGCTGTCAGGTGAGATCCCATCTGGATTTGTAAACGTGACCACACTAGGTGCATTTAATGTGTCTTTTAATAACTTGTCTGGTCCGCTACCCCCTAATGCCAATTTTACGAAGTGCAATAGTGTTCTTGGGAACCCTAATCTCCAACCATGCCATATCTTCTCTCCATTACCATCCACAAATCAGCTAGGGGTATTGGGGGATTCACAAAACGCTCCAGTACTACCTCCAATAAGTTCGAATGAAAAAAGAGGCAAGGGGGGGTTGAATTCGATAGAGATTGCATCTATAGCATCGGCATCAGCTATCCTGTTGGTTCTCATTGGTCTCATCATCATATTCATTTACACCAGAAAGTTGAATCCAATATCCAGAGTCGCCGGATCTATACGAAGGGAAGTCACAGTCTTCACGGAAATTGGAGTCCCTTTGACATACGAAGATGTTGTACATGCCACCGGAAATTTTAATGCCGGAAATTGCATTGGCAATGGTGGATTTGGAGCAACGTTCAAGGCTCAGATCTCACCAGGAGTCTTAGTTGCTGTAAAACGGCTTTCAGTGGGACGTTTCCAAGGCTTTCAACAATTTGACGCAGAAATAAAAACCCTGGGGAGGCTTCGGCATCCGAATCTCGTGACTTTGATAGGATATCATGCCAGTGAAGCGGAGATGTTTCTTATATATAATTATTTACCAGGGGGTAATTTGGAAAAGTTCATCCAGGAAAGGCCAGCGCGGGCCGCTGACTGGAGAGTACTTCACAAGATTGCTCTAGACATAGCCCGGGCACTTGCCTACTTACACGATCAGTGTGTGCCTCGCGTTCTTCACCGTGATGTCAAGCCTAGCAATATCCTTTTAGACGAGGACTACAATGCATATCTATCCGATTTTGGACTGGCAAGGCTTTTGGGGACTTCAGAAACTCACGCAACTACCGGTGTGGCGGGAACTTTTGGATATGTGGCCCCAGAATATGCAATGACCTGTCGTGTCTCTGACAAGGCTGATGTGTACAGTTACGGGGTCGTTTTGCTTGAGTTGATTTCAGATAAGAAGGCTCTGGATCCTTCCTTCTCCTCGTACGGAAATGGCTTTAACATTGTTGGCTGGGCATGCATGCTATTGAGGCAAGGACGGGCTAAGGAGTTCTTCACGGCCGGTTTGTGGGACTCAGGCCCACGGGATGATCTGGTGGAGGTGTTACATTTGGCAGTTGTCTGCACCGTGGAGTCTCTGTCAACTAGGCCCACAATGAAGCAAGTTGTTAGACGGCTAAAGCAACTTCAACCTCCATCTTGTTAAGAGGTGACTAACATTGTGTTGATGTCATGTAAAGGTAAAAGAAAGTGTAACTGTATTTTTAAATTTTAACCCATCAGCACTTTGACTAAGAAGCCTCTCCCCTCCCTTGAGAAATGTATGCAGTTTTTTTCAATAGGTTCCATCTTTTTGAGTTTGTTTGTAATTGGTAGCTTTCATTGTAAATTTAGTATAGCTTTGCCTCACATTTTTCTGTCATCATGTGCCTTATTAGAGATTGTATTCCTGGATATATCTGCAAAATGCAGATAATTGTCTCTAACAATGTATACATGTTTGTAGCCCATTTATGTTGTCCAGTGCTCCATAAAATAAAATACTCCGTTATAGGAGACCTTTTTGTGCTTTAAAAAAGTAATGATTCTTATTTCTTATGCTGAAAATTTCTGCCCTACTAAATTGGCGGGGAGCCTGTTACCTTTTTTCTTACCCCTTTTTATCATTACCCTAAAATTCAAGGTAGCATAATCAATGCCTATTTGCCTCTCAACTGCAGTAATACTCTAATGCAGCAATCAAACTCATGTTCATAGGGGTGTTTGGAATAGATTCACAATCAATTTTTTCAGAATCAATTCTTCGGAAGCTGGTTTCTCTTAATTTCTAAAAAACTACTTCTCGGAACAATTTGGAGCACCCAAAAGTAATTTTGTAGTTTCACCCATTGAAGAAGCAAAATCAGTTTGAAGAAACCGATCCAAACACCCTCATAATCTCTTCCCAAACAGATCCAAACACTCTCATAATCTATTCCCAAACAGATCCAAACACTCTCATAATCTATTCCCAAACAGATCCATATTTCATCATGATAATTCATGATTGGGCACGCCATCTAGTCATACTGTTATAATGCACATGGGCCAAACCAGTGGTGGACCCCGCTAGATCAGGTTTAGCACATGCTTCACCCCAAATGAAGAACTGTCATTAGTGGGTACTCTTGACTTTAGAACCTCCATGTTATTCATGCACATATTGACGATTTTTTAAACGCAACTGCTCAATGTCTAATGAAAGAAATAGCCCTATTTCTTTTACTTCAGGTCCCTTGAAAGTTTCACAAGTTTGATTGGTCGTACAATAAGAAAATAAAGTAAGAATTGCATGGTTAAGATTTTTGCAAAACAGAGTGAAATAATAGGAAATACAAATTAATCACCTCAAAGGGAAAGTGGCAAGTTCTCTTACCAACATTAACTTAAAAATTTGTAAATTGAATTGTAAATGTATCTTCTCCACTACTAAGTTTTCTCTTTGAATTTTTGGTAGGGATGATGTATATACTCTTAAGAGAGACGTGCACTTAACTTAATCTTATATATATTCTTCCCTTTTGTATCCAGAATCTACAATGCCCTTAATCAAGACATATTTCATATTTGTATTTATAACCAGATAGGAGTTTTTGTAACAAACTGAGTCCAATCTATTGAGTTTTATAGATCAACCTATCTTTCTTAAATATTTAATTTGGGATTCTTAAACGCCATATCATATGCATATATGGCTCTGTTTGGAAAGAACCCGAAAACAGTGCTTTTTTCTTCAAGAAGTTTGGGACAATACATACATTTGAAATGTAATTAGCTCTTGAGAATTGAATCTTATTTACAATCGTGGCAGTTCATTCATTGACTATTGCATCATTCATAAGGATTGAAAGTTTCAAACAACTATCATCTGAACAGTTGCCTGCAATACACCATTGATCTGTCATGCATCTGTACAGCCTCATCACTAATGACCTCAGTAATGAGATCCTTAAAGATTAGGCGCTCAATGTCCACCACTAATCTTGGAATCACGCAGTCAAGTTGCACCCAGTCCGCTGATTCGTGCTTCATATCCATATTTGTGATGCTGACCGATTCATCTTTCTCGGTCTCCATACTGATGTTTGATTTAGCAGGCCGTAGATAATCTATCTCTCTGTGTACTTCTTTAAGAAGCTGGTGTCCACTTGAATGTTTCCTGCCTTGTATCAAAAGCCCTTCTGGTGATAGTTTCTGGACAATGATTTCCTCAACTGTGTCAAATACCATCTTCCTGTGGGTTTTCTGATTAAACTTTAGCGGGGAGGTCTGTTTTCTGCATCGTTCATTTTGTTCCAGCACATCAAACAACTCGGGGTTGATCAAATGGACGGTCGGATGAAGCCAAGAAATTGTTGAGGCACGGTTCACATCTCTCAGGATGCCTGAGGCCAATAGTATCTTATTGATGTATTCATGATCTTCATCAACATCATTATCGTCATGGCAGAAAAATTCTGTTTGGTCGACACAAGGCAAGGAATTCGTCAGTCTGAGATCATGAAGCAGGATATCATCTTCTTTAGACTTGTCGTTCTTGATCTCTGAGCTAAGAAGAAATTGTGCGTTGGTGGTGAAATCCTTTGAATGCCACTTTGCTTCATCATTTTCTATAGCATCATAATCTGTAAAAAGACAAGAATGGACTTCATGTTAGTCAAACTGTGCTTTGGGAAAACTAATGTTTAGATTCATGTATGAGAATGTAGTGTTTTCCTTTTCTTAAACTGTTGGTCTATTACCCCGCTGGTGCCATTTTGTTTGTCAGTTTTACTATTCATGCGATCAGCTTAATACATTTTAACCTATAATCTCATGTATCGATTTTTTAACATATTCTAATTCAGTTTTTTAAATTCAAAAGAACTTTTGGTGTAGTCTCCAAATATGTAAATTTTAATTATTAATACTAATTTTGATCTTTCTAAAGGGGCTTCAACTTAACTCATTAAAACCTTGTAATTAGAAACATGACCTGGTAGATGGGCCGGAGGGAGCATATAAAATATAAATTGCAATGTATCTGCTCCGTTTATATGCCATATAGATTGCATAAAAAGATCTGTTATTTGATTAGGGAAAGATGGGAACCTCTAAAAGGTGTTGATATCTTCTTCACAGGGGATGGAGAATCTTCAATGTAAAATGTTGAGTCAAGCACAGACACCGGACTTCGTTGTTCTTTCATAGAAATTTGAAGTTCAGAGATTGGCAGTTCCTCATTCAGCATCATTGAAGGATCCTGGATTGAATAATGGAAGCGACTAGTTAGCTTAAAAAGTAAGAAGCATGTTTCTCAAATAGATGTACATACAAGGCTAATTGCTTACCATCTCTTTACAGCTTCTTCTCGGTTTAGAGAGATATTTGCTTGTGACTTCAGTGTCCATACATGATGCCAAGCTGTTGTCACTTTCTGACTGTATCGAAGCTATATCATATTGATCACTGAAGCTCTTTATGTCATTGCGGATCTCAATCTTGACTTCCGGCTTCTGATTGCTGGATTTAAGCTTATATCTTCTGCTCCTCAATCCTGATTCTTTTGTTTGTGGTGTGCCTTGGTGCTTTCTCACTCTGCTCAGTTCGAGCGGCGGGAGATGTGGTTGCAATCTTGGACTCACTGCACCAGTCGAGCCGCCCTGTACTGCTTTCCCGTTCTTCTTTCCGTTAGAAAGGTGCTGACCTGCGTCTTTGTTGTAACTTCTCCTTGGTGACAAACTTTTCCTCTCATCAGCAACCAAATTTTCTCTGTAACTGACTGGTCTGATCTTGTCATCATTAAGCTTTGCTGGTTTCCTAATGATATGACGAGAAGAAGACTCCATTGGCCTTCTTGGGGAGTGGCTGATGTTGTTTTGCTGGACCAAGGGAGTGTTTGTTTCTTGTCTTTCACTCCTTTGGATCGCTTCAAGTATTTGTTTCAGTGCTCGCAGATCCTTACCGGATTTCTGGAACTCGAGCTCCGTTATCCTTTTCTCGATTTCACTATACACCGATAAGCGCTGCTGATGTGGCGCTACCCCAGAGCCTCTTGGTACCATTTCGTCCTCGTGGGAGGGAGGAGAATACGAGGGCTCTTCCAATCCCATTAACTTTGCCACCACACTTGGTGATCTCTTATGATTATTCCCCAATAAGAGGAAATTTGATCTGGATTCACATGCAGAAGTTTGTATGGACTTGACTCTACTGTCCAATGACAACCTCGGGATCTCTTTTACTTTCATCGCCTTTCCACCCGACTCTCTACCATCATAGGAGAGACGTCGAGGTTCTAGAAGTTTCTTAGCATGAGCTCTCGTCAACGCGTCTGATTGTGAAGGTCTCGGGGAGTCTACATGTTTCACTACTTGAACTCTTCCTTCTGTTTTGGTCACAGTTTTGATGGATATACTACGGGCTTCCCGGTGCATTGAGTCCTTCACCGCGCCTTTGAGATCCCGTTGGTGGTAGCTAGTTTGGTTGGAGGGTGGTGGTGGTGATTCCAGTTTAGTTGTTTTGCTTTGGTCAAGTGGTGGGAGAGTCTTGGATGGCTCATTGAAGACCTTTGGAATTTTTTCCTGCATTTGTTGAATCCATTGTAAGTTAATATGTAAAATAGGGTGTGCCATTGTGTGCAAATTCTTGTTTTAGATTTCAAAATCTCACCAGTTTCAGCTGTTCTGCTGCACCTTCCATGTTGTGGTTGGCTCCTGGATAAAAAGAACAGTGATGCATCAGTAAAAGACTATTTATTACTGATGGTAATACAAAATTACATAAATTTCTCAAGTAAAAAAGAGATTCATTTATCATATTAAGTGTCTTTCAAGGGTATATGCATACAGGTGAGCAAAAAACCTTCCCTAATTAATACTCCCTTTCTTGCTTCTGTGAGTTGTTTAAAAGTATAATAACTGGTATGCAGAATGGTGTAGAAGAAGTAAAAAAAAACCATGAAAAAATAAGAAGGTGAAAACAAGCAAAAAAAGCAAGAAAAAAAATGTAGGAAAACAAATGAAAAATAGAGTAAAATTTACTAAAAACAGAAATGTAAGTAATGAAAAACATTCTTAAAAGGATTACAAAACAACAAAACGGCTAGTTCTAATGAAAAAATATAATACATCTTTTTGGAATATTAAAAATTATTTTACCTCAGAATAAAGAACCTCAAGAAAGGCCAAAAATGAATACTTTGAATCAAGGAATGGGACAATTTACTTTCTTTTTTTAATTTTACAAAATGACAAGCAGTGGGACAATTTTTTAGCCAAAAAAAGCAGTTAACCGAAGAACCCAGAATTGCAAAAATAGAAGATGTGGGCAAGAAGTGTTCTTTGATCGTGAAATGCAAAATAAGAAACCTGAAAGCAGCCTTTTATTGGTGTGCCGGCCGACACGCCGGAAATGGTGCCGTTCAAAGAGATGGAATATTCCGTTCATGCACCCAATCTGCTTGTTCAGATTCCGGTGATCATCTTCTCTCAGAGCAGAAACCGCCGCCGCTCTTACAGACATTCCGGTGATATACTTTATATGGATAATAACTAAGAAGAGCTTCTTCGTTTTTATATATAATGAGAATAGGAATTTCTGGGTTTCCTAACAGAACAGAGAAAGAACAGAGAAACCGAGTTTGTCTCTGGGAACTGTCAAGGAGAAGACAGCTTCCTTTAACAAGACTCGCTGGAGATGTAATAGGAGTGATTTTATACTTGTACTTTATTTTTATTTTTTATTTGTTAATTAATTATACTTGTTTTTTGTTAAAATGTCACTATTAAATGGTCTTCTCAACCTTATGAAATATCCAAAAGGGCCCTGAAATGTGACATGGATAAGGTTTGAAAAAGTTTCATAATTGAGGGCATTTTAGACTAAAAACTGGATGTTTGTAAAAGTCAAGAATGTGCTCGGTAAAGGAAAAAATTTGCCCGAAATGTGTGCAGTAACTGAATTTGTTGAAACTGTAGATGATGCTCTGTTCCACTCAGTTGCCGACTTGAAAGCAAAAATGAAGAGTAATAGCCACAAATATTTCAGGAGTTCGGATTTTGAAAACTTCAAGTTGGGTGTTGAAACTTATATTTGGACATAAAAATATTATGGAGTCATAATCTCCCTCTGTCCCATAAAATTCACCCGAAGTTGACTTTGATCAGAAATTATGAAAGTGTGAATAAAATTGAAAGATATGATTGTTGTTGAGTAAGAAAATGTAAATCAATGTTAGTTATACAATTTTTTTCAAAAAAATAGATAAGAATAATTTCTTGAAACATCACAAAGAGGTACGGAGTAAGTGTGAAGAATTTTATTGGACGGGTGGGGTATATAGGCTTATCAACAAATTAATAATTGATACCGTTATAAAAATAAGTAGCTTGATCTGATCTAATAAACCTATATGAAAATGGTCTAACTTTTTGTTATAAACATTCTTACCATCTATTTTATTATCTCAAAATGTTGTTACCATCTTTTTGCAATCCAATTTTGTACTATCTCCATCTTTTATAAATTTATTCTGTGTGATGAAGTCTAGAGAAAAGAGAGAAATAGTAGCAATTACAAAATAATTGCTTGAATGAGATTATGAGAAAATGACTAAATTTGTATGACAATCACAGAAAGAAAGCTGTCAAAGCTATAAGGCAAAAACGAATAGTTTATCCAACGATTTATTACTATATTCAAATCTAGTTTTTTGTGATTCAAAAAATTTTTAATGCAATTTCTAAACGGGTAAAGTTTGAATCATTAACACCGATCTTATTATTATAAATATAAATAGCTAACTTGATAATGTATGATCTTATATCCAATTAATGGAGAGCATTAAATTAAGAACAGATGCACACATGAGCATACAGCAAAGTGAGCAAACACAAAACAACTACTTTTTTGTCAATTAACTAATATGATCACTAATCTTATCTGAGTACTAATAAGCTAGCTAGGTGGGGTGGAGGGATGGGGATGAGGCTATATGTGAGTGAAGTGGGCCATTGACTGAGAATATATCGTGGGTTATGTAATTGCCAAACAATTATATTTTGGGCAGGACAAAAAAAAAGTGGGGGTGGTAGGTCTCTTTCTTGGGTAGAAGCTACGTAATTAAGAGTATTTCTCTCTTATCATTTCCCTTTTTTCTACATGGGGCATGTGGAGCTTGTCAGATAAATGGATCATAATAAGAAGTGGGTTTATTGTATATGTACTGGCTAAAGTCTGTACCCTTTCCACAACAAAAGTCTGTACTCTTTAGTCTTTACAACTATTCTCCTTGACCATTGTATTATCTCCTCCTTTATTTATTCACTAACTATTTATTTAGTCATTTAGTTATATACTTTTTTGCGCCATTAACGTTTGGAAAATTTAGAGTTAGTATTGAGGTGAGGTTTTTATGTTATACGGAGTAGTATTGAATTTGTAAAAGTAGGATCCATGTGCGTAATTAGATAGGATCAATATCGTATAAGACAAAAAAGGTAATCCCGAGTTCATTAGACTCACCCAGTACCCACACTAGATCTCTTCTCATTTGATCTAGTCTAGCATATGTCTGTTTCATACTTCGTATGTATTTTATTATTACCAAAGTCAGGCTTGGTCAGGTCTAACTAAGTCAAGCCTGTCTGAGGATGTTTTCACTTGGAATGACTTCAATCTCGAATCAGATCAGACTTCAACTAACAAAATTAGATCACGCATGATGAGGCTATATTAGACTAGATCAAATTAGACCAACTTTAAACATATTAGATCAAACAAATTGAAATTAGAGCAAACTTAGACAATAGTAAAATACACATAAAACGGACACATATCATACTGGACTAAATTTGTATAGGCCATATAAAACCGGATAAGAAAATATCAAATCTAATTCAAAACTCCTAAGTTTGTATAATTTGATCTTAGACTGAAATCAGTCTAATTAAAATCCTCGTACATGGAGAGTAAAATGTATTAAGTCACAAGGTTCCATTCTAAGAGGCCAGATGATGTTCGTTAGAGTAGACCAATCTTGTAATTCACATGCTCGTGCTCGTTGTTGAGACTTATCGGGATCTAATTGCTCGTTGGAGCTTAATTGGCTTTGATATCATATTATGTTTTGGAATTTTTTCTTGATCAACCTGATATGATAAATAATTCAAAATTCGATCTATATACTACTCCCTCCGCCCTTTAACTTTGTCTCCTTTTACATTTTCCTTCCGTCCCATTAAGTTTGTCTCGTACCATATTTGTGAGTTTTTTTCCAAATAGGGGTAGTTTTGATTCTTATTTACCAAATGAATGTAGTTTTAAACTTTTCCCAAAGTAGGATAGTTTTTGCCATGTCATTTTAATTTTGCCCCGTCATCTGTTCCACATCATACAACAACCATTCAATGTCATCAATCACTTTATATGGTCTCATTTGGATGTATTATTAAAATTAAAAAAAAATAAGCAACCTAAGAATAGAACCCACGACACGCTGATGTACTACACACTTAGGATGTTTTCTTTTGGATTGAAATTTGCTGGTCTGGTCTGGTCTGGTCTAGTAAACGTCTGGTCTCTGTGTATTTTATAACTACGGAAGTCAAGTCTGGTCTGGTCTGTTCTGATCTGGTCTGGTCTGGGACTGAAAACAGTCCAAAAGAAAGCATTCTTAGAAACCACTGGACTACGTTAAATACTTGATGCAAATTCTCTTTTACGAATTATTACCACCTACTTAATAGCATATATCACCCTACGTTTTTGTTATAGTTTTAAATTTAATTTTAATTTTTTAATTTCATATATGAAATTAAGTATCTATTATATTCTCTTTTAATGCAATTTTATCATATTCATTTGAAATTAATATTCTTTTTTAACATAGTTTTTAATTGATAGATAAAATAAATAAATTCCATTTTAGATCCTAATCCATCACAGGCTTAAAAAACTTATGTTATGAATATAAAAATAATGTATTTTAGTGTTGGGATATTATAAAAATAATATAGTGTAAACAAATCTTATGTTTTATATTTTTTATATTAATAATGTAAGAGTTTTTATTAAATTTGTGGTGAGTTAGAGCCTATCATGATATTTATTTGTTTCTTATTTTATATAGTGTAGAGTTATTTTAAATTATTTTTAATTGAATATATCAAATGGCGTTGTATTATAATTTTGCACGTATCAAATTAAGTATTACTCGTATATCATACGGAGTATTCTCTAAATGTTTATGGAAATTATGGAAGGAGTAATGTATAATCCGTTTATGTTAAGTATACGCAGAGAAGAAAATGTGTCAACAATTAAATTCGGTCCAGTGGCTTGGTAGTGAAAAGTTCCTAATGAAGGTTGTGGGTTCGAATTCTTGATACTCCATACTTGATGACATGAAATGGCTAGGAGATGATTTGGAATAAGTGACGTGGCGAAATGGGATGACATGACAAAAAATACCTTACTTTGGGAAATAAGTTTAAAACTACCTTTATTTGGTAAATAACTTTATTAAATATAAATAGCCCAATTAACTCATCAACTAATTACATTTAATTCTAAATAACAACCAAATTTGTTAAATTTCATTATTTCATCATACATTATTACATTAGTAGAGTAGTAGTACTACTATTAAAAATTTTATTTTGGGCCCTCCAAAATAAAAATTTTATTTTGGACCCTAAACTCCCTCTGGGCCGGCCCTGGGTAAATAAGTTTAGAGACTACTTCCGTTTGGGAAAAAACTCTCATATTTGGTATTACTTGAGTGATTGCAATTCATTCTTACTTTATCTACACTTTATGAGTTCAATACTAATCATACAATTACATTTTTTCTTAAAAGTTGTGTCATACGCAAATAGTACTATTTTATATATTGTGGCCGCAGATTTGGGATAAACTCCTTGTAATCACACACTTTTTAACTTTCAAGTTTCAAGGGGTATCATAATGGCTGGGCGCTTTATTCCATAACGTGCAAAGGTACCCACAATACATATTCATTTTACTTTCGCAATGATGATAGCAGCAGAATAATTTTAGATGAGATCCAAATCCGTTAGATCTGGCCTCACCAAGAACATGGAGCAATATTTTCAACTTTTCGCAGTCTTGTTGTTGTAGTTTCACTGAACTACCCATAAACGCTCCCAACATTTATTAGAGGAGTAAAGGATAAAGTAGTCATTTGGCATGAACATATGTACATGTTATGGAGAAGAGGTACTATTCTTTTTTATTGCAGTCATTATGGAGAGGTACTTCGTATTCATAGGTCACATGCCTCACTTCAACGACTGATAGAAATTAAGAATCAAGTGGAGGTAATAAAGAGGCTGTTCCAATGTGGATTTTCATAATATGAGGTGACTTTTTGTAGATGCATAAAGGGACTAACTATTTTTAGATTGGAAGTATGATGAAATTAAACCAAGCAAAATCACTCACTAAACTGTCTGTGTTTCTTTATTATGAAGCAATTTTCAGTCCATGCAATTTTCGACGTGAATTTCACTATGAGTCATCCAGAAACAGACTTTATGTGTTTTAATACATGGGTAAGACTGCATACATCCGATCATCCTTACCCTACCGTAAGTGGGAGTTTTTGTGACATTGGGGTAATGATGATGATAATGATAAATAATACTCCGCACTCCGTAAATTGT